AGGGTTGGAACTGGGGCTTCAATTCAAGTTAGTCTGATGTCTAAACCCAATTCTTAACTATTATAGGCTCCTTCTCCTCCCAACCACCCTGAGAAAATTAAGTTCCTTTGACTCTGTTTTCTAACTTTCCAGTCATTTTGGCTTCTAGGGTCTTTATTCATTCTTTACAAAGCAGTTACCAAGACACTCTGGGGGCTGGATGTGGGTTGGTGGAGCGAACGTCAGGGTTCAATCCTTTGCCAACCTCTCCTTCTTGGGTGTCCTGCTGCCTACTGGGAGAGCCGGGATTATAGACCAGAGCAGTTTTCCATCCTGACACACACCATCGGCCACACTGCCTCTACATGTCACATTTGCCTAAATGTAAAAACAGAAAAAGAGCAGATGAACAGACTGGGGAAATATGATGGCAAACACGAGGTGTCCTCAGCAATGCCACTGGCTTGAATGTCACCAAACCACTGAAGAGAAGTGACGTCTGGGCACCACTCACTTCCCAGAAACACCCAACAGCGAAGAGTAACCTGATCCTTCCCTCTCCAACCAGCCTAGGGAATGAAGACTACACTCCTTAACCTGAAAGCCTCTTCCTTCCCCAGCAACTTTCAATGTCCCTTGAAGAACTTCTTGCTTCCTTTCTTTCTGCCCTGTTCCTGGAGCTTATTCCCCCATCTCTCCCAGACTCAGACAGTCCCCCTCTGTAAAACTCACCTGACCCCTCCAGCCCCATAGATTCACCTCTCCTCACAATTAGTGTCTGGACCAGGGATTGGGCCTCGGCTCAGGGCAAGGAGAGGAACGAACTCTTTACAGTACACATGCGCCAGAGAAGTCCCCTCCCATCGGGGCCCCTTGGAATGACTCGGGATAAACTGAGGACATCACCTACCAGCTAACGATCCCATATATGACTTGGTAACTACAACTGGGTAGCCCAGCACTGCCCCCCACCAGCTTTCTTCTGGAGAGCACTTCTACCTCCCACTCCCCACACATGGCTGGGCAGGAAGCTAAGTTCTGTGCATTCCCAGCCCTAGATCACAGCTGACCAGACTAAAAGTGACCAACGGATCCAAGAGGGGCCAACAAATCCCTTTACTGGAATCCTTCAGGCTCGAAACCAAGAGAGTGTCAGGCCCAGATATAGTGGGGGGCTATGTCTCCTACCAAGCAGGTGGAGAGAGAGAGAGGAAGTAAAAGCAGATATACAGAAGACTCGGGGAGGGGCCACTGGCACTAAGCCCCAGAGTCGGCTGTTCTAGAACAGCAGCTGCACCTCTCATGGGTTCCCCGATGCCAGCCAGGAGCCTCAAGAGCAAATCCCCTTTTGGCTCAACACAGTTCAAGCTGGGTCTCTGTTAAGTGCAACCAACAGTCCTAACCAAGCCAGTGGGCTACTAAAAAGCACCCGATTTTTATCTACAAACTGGTTGAAGACAAAAGGGGGCAAAGGGAAGAAACTAACACGGATGAGGCAGTAGAACCGTCTTTCTCTCAGATCTCAGGTCGGCTACCTGGCAGCTGTTTGATCTTAGGTTACGTAGAGAATGTCTCTGGGACTCGATTTCCTCGTTGTAAAATGGGAATCTGGACACGATCCCAGAGTCAGTCTGACAATGACAGATGCTGCCTGCAAAGCTTCTAGTGCTCAGCGAGCACCCAACACATGACGGCTGCTTTTACGTTCCCGTCAGGCGTTTACCACAAGCCAGGCTCTGTGGTAAGTTCTCCACAAACATCTTGTGGGACTCCTGACGTGATGACAAGGGCAGCACCAGCCCCAAGGAGGAGCACAAGGGCCCCCCAACTGATGGGATCTTTCAGAGGTCACTCTGCCAGAGCTGGGTCTCAATGACCTGAAATCCCCTGCCTTTCTTGTCTTTTCATGCATTTCCTCACACTGTCCTCCTAAGCACCAGAATGAGCCAGTCCATGCCTGTTGACCCGCCTTTCAAAACCCTCCCTAAGGCTCCACTCCAACATGGGATGAGGGGGAGAAGACATTTATTCGGCCTCCATTTATGGAATCTGGGCCAGGCGGGCTTTGTTAGAAACTCCAGCACACCCTGTGTGTTCCTGCCATGAGACCCTCCATGATGTGGACGGGTCATAGGGACTGAAGCTAGTAAAGCCAACCCTCAAACTTCTTTCCTGTCCCATAAGGTGCTTAATAAACACTGTTTGAATTGAAGGGTTAAAATGCCCAGGACAAACATAAATTCCTGCACTTTGGGGATGGTTTAAGACTCTTACTTTCAGTTAGCAAGCTCCTCAGAAATGTCAATTTTATTCTAATTTCTTAGCACTTAAACTGTCACAGGTAACCCAGTCTGCCTTTCAATGCTGCAAAGAGAATCTCCCCAAACTAGAATCTCAAGGGAAGATTTTAAATGACACAAAAGCTGAAACTATTGGAAGAGTAAGGAGGCCATAACAGCATCTTAACATGACGCGAAAAAGAGAGGGCCAGAAAGCCAAGAGATTTGTTCCACGCTTGGTGTGATGCAGGGCCTGGCCTGGTGCCCTGGCTGGCTGTTTCCCTGGGGGGGGGCTCCCTCTCACCCCTACTCTGCCTCCCTAGCTGATCCTACTGTCTGCCCTGCCTCCTGCAGGATTGAAAAGATTATGAGGAGGGGATCATAAATCATTTTTCTCTCATGAGTTATAGTGTTCCCTTCTGAGGAGTTCAAAAGCATTCAGTAATAAACCAAGGTGATGAGTTTATGTCTTCTGCTTTTAAAATGAAACTTTATTTGAACTCCTAGAGAGGCATTTACAGTTTTTTTAATTTAGGACATTCCTCTCTTATTTCAACATTTCGCCCCATGGCATTTTCTGTGGGCGGGTAGGTGATGGGGGGGTAGAGGGTGGAGGAGGGAGAGGGGGTCTGGGTCTGGCCCTACCCCCCCCCCCTTCTCCCACAGGCTTTTCTGAATGCCTGACAGAGTCTTCCCTTCGATGGTTTTCAGCAAGTCTCAACATCTATATGGAGGAGTCCCTCCTCCCACTCCCACATTGACTTGGCGGCAGTTTCTTGCCTTTGTGCTTCTTTCCACTGCCCATCGCCTTCTTGCCATAGCCACTGAGAGCAAAGAAATGAGAGAAAAGCATGCTATCTGCAGGAGTTAGGGCTGCCCACAAGGCTCACTTTGCGTTTCTTTATCCTAGTCTCTTGCTAGGGGCTAAAAAAAAGAAAAGCGCAGTTAGCAAAGCTAATAAAATCAAAGCTGAGAACAATTACACTTTAAAATCAGAAAGGAAAAGAAAGAGGAAGGAAGGAAGGGAGAAAGAAAAATAGGAAGGGGGGAGAGAGAGAGAGATGCGTGAGTCATCACACCTCCTGTACAGACCCAGGCTCTAAACAAATGTGGAACTGTCTTGCTTTGTCTGGCCCAAGAGTTTTGCTAATGATTTTATTCAGGTGTTAAGCCAAATTTCAGTAACTAACCATGTGTAAATACCGCCTGGACACCACAGAGCCTTTCCAAACAGAAACGTGGTGGGGGGAATGGGCTGTTGCCTGCAAGCAGGTAGAACCACACGCTTAGCTTCTGCATTCGATAAATATTTGGTGAATGAATAAACCCAAGAAGTACTTAATGATTCAATATATGTCTAGGGTTTTTATTCCCCCTGGCTTTGCAAGCTAGCAGGCCAAACCATACAAAACTCTTCAAGTAAAACCACTACATGGTTGTTCCAGGTGGAGGAAGGAACAACTGGGTGTCCCTGGGAGCCCTGTTCCAACCCACTTATAGACACAACAGATGCAACAGTGGAACTCCACTGGATGGGGGCAAAGCAAATTAGGCCAAGTTGCTGAGCCCTGCAGAGCAGCAGCTGAAGCACAGGAGAAAATATTATATGAGGAGCGTACTACCTGCAAGGAAAGCAGTGTTCCTAACCTTTGGACGTAGCTGGCATTCCTCCTAGGAAAACACTGAAGTATTCTCAAAGGGGTCGCTGCTCTCCTAGCATCATCAAGCAGCTCTGGCCAACGATTTAAACGATGAAGTATCAGGGTCTGGGCCACCTAAAACACCTTGATTTGACTTCATGAACTGTCAACCAAACAGGTTTCCTGTTTGGTTTCCTGGGTTGGTTTCCCCACCCACCCCCCGCTATAAAAGATCAGGAGAACCTGACAAGCGCTCAGAAGCTTCAGAAGACAAGTGGGACATGAAAATCACAGATTAGACCCTTAACAGTCTCCTGGACCCAGTCTTTCAGGAGACTGGTTGGGACATCTTCAAGTCTGAGAAAGCTTCCCCGTCAAGCACCCTGCATCAAAACCACCTCTTCTCTTGCCTGGATCCCCAAGAGGTCAGGAACCAGGACTGTTTTTTTCCCCAGCCGTCTGCCCATGGTACCTAGGCAGCAGCTTCTGAGATTATTAAAAATAAATAAATAATCCAGGCAATAACACTATCCTTAAGAGATACCGCCTTTTCTCCAACTAAAATTCTCATAACTTTCTCCAAACCTTTCTCTTTAACAAAATGATCCAGTTTAAAACAGATTGCCATCTGTCATATTTTAAGATCATTGATGGATAGTTTCCCAAAATAAATTTATTTCTATCTTAACACTGCAGCCAGAGATAATGCTGACCCCTCTTGGCTCACAAGTCTTTTTTAGTCCAAATGGGATGACAGCAGCCAATGGCAGCAAACATTTTTTGAGAGCTTACTCTGCTGGCTGTTTGCATCTCATCTCACCTCCTAACCATCCTATGAGGTAAGTTCTAATATAGGACCATAATTGCTGTCTGCCATTCTGAAACCAAAAAAGCTCTAAAACCCAGAAGTTTTTCCATAACTTACTTGGCAGCAAAACTTAATGGACCTGAGCTCGTTGAGAGGCAGAGCTACCCTGAACTAACATGAGGCTGTTTAGATTTTAGTTATCCTACTTAATGTGAATATCCATATAGTCTGCTACACAAATAAGAGTGTGTTTAATTACTGAGAACGGTCCCAGACCTCCTGGCACTTGCTTACCTTGCCCAGGACAGTGAGGCATGGTTTCGGGTCCAACTCTGGCTGTTCCAGCTTCACCACACCTACCCAGCCGTATTCATACAAGTCCTCTTCATCGTTGTTATTACACAAGCCCAGTGGGTGCATCTAGGAGACAAAGCAGGAAGAAAGCTTCAATACATAGGCCACAGGTGTGCTTGACCCACACTGTAAGTGTCTCAGACTCAAGAGCGAAAAGTCATCTCAAAACCTAAAATTAGGGATGCCCGGGTGGCTCCGTCAGTTAAGCGGCTGCCTTCGGCTCAGGTCATGATCCCAGGGTCCTGGGATCAAGACCCTCAGCGGGCTCCTTGCTCAGCAGAAAGCCTGCTTCTCCCTCTCCCTCTGCCACCCCCCACCTTGTGCTCTCTCTCTCTGTCAAATAAATAAAAGCTTAAAAAAAAACAAACTTAAAATTAAATGGGGGTTGGATTTTACAGATGTTTTCTCACTGCCTTTTTTTTTTTAAGTTTATTTACTTATTTAAGTCATCTCTATATTGAATGTGGGGCACAAACCCATGACCCCGAGATCAAGAGACGCATGCTCCTCTGAGCCGGCTGGGCACCCCGCTTTCTCACTGCTTTCTAAGTGGTGGTCACCCAAAGCGGACACCAGCCAATGGGATCAAGGGCAAGAAAAATCACATAACTCCCATATAAATGCCTATCTGAATTCCTGTGAAATACCATGATATTTAGTAGTAATTACAGATGAAATTAGCTAGGTTAGTTATCCTAAGCTATTTGGCTTCTAATCCTTAAAGACACATCTATGTCAAGTTATGCAAGAGGACCTGGAAACACATTCAGGAATTTATGGAAAGACCAAGAGACATACGGCAGAATCACCAGTATAATTAACAAGCTGTTTAAAAGGCCACCCCTGGCTACTAGGGAACAGGTAAAATTCTTTGAGGATTTTTTCAAAACAGGCAAAGCAGGAAATCAAAAACAGGAAGAAGAGCATCATCAAATTTTTGCTAGTAAAAGTGCAGTCGGTAGAAGTGTAAGAACAATCCTAAAGTCTGTGCTCACAGCTCTATCACTGAGTCTTATCGGGCTCTGGAATCCCCAGTAACAATCTGAGAAGAGGAAATCCTCAGAGATAAACTAACCGGTCAAGAAATTAACGAGTCTAGCACAGTGCTAAACTGTACATACTGGAAGAAATGTGTAGAGACACAAGAGACCTAAGAACCTGCTGTGGTTGACAGAATGATATCCTCCAAGGCTGGCCTCCAAAAGCTGGAAAAGACAAGAAACAGACTCTCCCTAGAGCTTCCAGGAGGAATGTCACCTTTTTCCATTTTCGACTTCTGACCTCCAGAATGCTAAGAGAATAAATTCGTGCCGCTTTAAGCCACTAAGTTTATGGTAACTTCTTAGAGCAGCAAATAGGAAACTAAAACACTCTTTGTCCCCTACTCATTTTATAGATGAGAACAGAAGTTCAAGAGAAGTAGCTTTTCCAGGACAACAGAGCCAGCGAGTGGCCGCCCCCACAGGTGACCTGACCTGGCCCCCAGATTCACAGTCTGGCGCCTTCCCACTCCACTTGCTTAACTTTACCGTTGTCCCTTCCTCCAAGAGCTAGTCATCTGACTGGGAGGGAAAGACCAAGTGATTAAATCTTTAAGAAAAAACGTTGCCAGCTCTAAATTCTGTGGTACTAGAGTTGCAACACAAATGTAGTGTGGGCAGCAAGAGTGGCTAGAATGTTCAGGGAAGCCCTGTGCAAGTGCTGAGCTGTGAGATGAGCTTCAAGGAAGAGTCACATTGGTCAAGGAAAAAGGAGAGAGAGCAGGCAGTGGTTCCAAGCCTGGGGAGGAGAAGCTAGAGGCTGGGGCCGGGGGCGGGGGGGGGGGCGCGGCGGGGCAGAGGAGCAAGACCAGTCTGGTAAGTATGAAGGACCACAGTCTACATCGAGAAGGAGAGAGACAGGCTAAAACTAGAAAGGTGTTTCAACACCAAGACAATTACCACGGGTTCTTGGGCAGAAGAGTGCACAGTGGTGTGCCCAGCCTCGAGAGGCATCAAGAGTGGAGGAGTGAAGGGTACAGCCCAGAGACGAGACAATCTTGGCAATTCAAAGGACCGACAGGAGGGGGTTGCACAAGCCCATGAGGCAGGTGGGCACAGGGTGCTACAAGGGGGTGGCCAGCAGCTCTCTCTAGTGGGTGAGGAATAATCTATCCCTGTGAATTCCAATGCATGAGACAGAGAGCCCCGGGATATCCAATTTTTGCCTGAGTCCTCAGGCTTGATGATTGTGCCCAAAGGACAAATGAAGATTCTGCCTTGAAGAACCCAGGCCACTCTAACATGTTTGGTAGTTTATTAAATGATGAGCAGCCTGAAATGCAGACCTCTGACTGGAGAGGAAATGGGTGAGAGTGATAAGCCAATTGTACCAGCAGCCCCGTCGCCTCCACCACCAGGAAAGGGCTCCCTGCCCGGCTCAAGTCGGCTTCCTGAAATCCCAGGCCCAATCATGGCAATGGCAAACACACTGCTGACCCTTTTCTGCAGTATTCCATGGGTATTTTTAACCCGGCCACGTGACTTGAAGGTTTCCAGGTGGAGAGTTGCTTTTTGTTACTTGCACATGAATGAGGTTTGGCCCATGAAAGAGAGCTACACTGGGGGAGCTGAGGTATGGTGCAGGTCTAAGACCTGGTTTCTACGGTTCCACTGATAGGAGATTGTCCAGAATAGGCAAATTCATAGGAACAGAAAGCAGATTTGTGGTTGCTGGGGAGTGAATGCTTATTGGGTCCAGGGTTTCCTTTTGGGGTAACGAAAGTGTTCTGGAATCAGAGGACGGTGAGGGATGCACATTGTGAATATACTAAATGCCTCTGAATTGTATACCTTAAAATGATTTAAATGGTGAATTTTATAGAAATTTCTCCAACAATAAAAAAGTTTTTTAAAAAATGTCCCAAGAGTTTACTCAGATATGACTGCGCTCAGCTAACGTGGGGACCCACGGGGAGGACAATGGGGTTGCCACCCTCCCAGAGCCTAAGCCAATTACAGCAGCCCTTCTGGAAACCATGTCCTGCAGGATGCTGACCCTGAGAGATTAAAAACAGGTTCTTGTACAAGTGACTAACACTGAAGAACGCTCCATAAGGGATTCAGGATTTGCTTTCGGAAATTAAAGCTCTGCAGAAGCCTAGGGGTTTTCAACCTTTGCAAACACCAGGATTTCCAACCCTTTGATTATAAGCCTATTTGTTTATACTACGATCATGCTACTTCATGGGGACACATTTAGAGAAATGCTAAGTTAGTTAGAATGCATGTAATACATGCATGAGAGAAAAAACCTAAAGTCAACGAGATTCAGGCAAAGCTAAATGCCCTTAAATGCCGAACATCCACAACGCAAAGACTAAGGGGTATGGTGGAAAGAATGGAGGGATGGTCATGGGTAGCTAGAGAGAAGAGGTGGCCTGGGAGGGCTGGTGGGATGTGGGAGGCTCAGGAACGGGAACCGAGAACAGCAGAAGTAGGAGATGCCCAAGCCTGGCCCTTTGCAGCCCTGGTGAGGAGGAAGCGGCCGTGACCAGACAGGAGGCTTATGCTGTGAAGGAGCCACATGCCAGGAGAGGCATGTCAAGAGTGTGTCTGCAGGCATGCAGAAATCTGAACTATGTAAGCCTCAAACACACCCGCTGCTCCGGGTCCCCTCGAGGCTGTCAGGCCCTGAGCCCTGGGCCATACATCATGCCAGGCGCTCTCTCCGTCCTCTGCGGTCACACCCTCCCGTTCTCCTCTAAGACACCCCAATCAAATCTTCCACTGACACTGCGGGGACTGTTAGCTCCAAATGGCAGCCCTGTCAAGGGTGCTGACTTCTGAACATGGATCAAAGACTTAAAAACCAAAAGGAATTTTTCGAAAGCGCCACTGGGTGCAACCCGTTGGCGTGGGTTGTTTATTTCCTCGTGGAGGGTAAAGAGGCCACCAAAATCACATCTCAGAGGACTGAAAACCTACCTCGCTATCTTTGCCACCTTCCCAACTCCACCCTCAGTGCTTTCTCTCCTGAGTTCTTTATTCCAGTTTACATTTTCAGGTGCCCACCTACTGGTCCTATGAATTCAACCTCAGCGATGTCTAAATATTGCATGATTGGGGTCTAAATATTGTACTATTGGGGTCTCTCAGCTCACCCCTGATGACAGTATCAGCTTCTGGAAATGCCTGCCACCCCAGGCCTCCAACCATTTATACCCTATGGTTCTCTTTTCCCAAGGGCTCCAACTTACGAGCTCAGCAGAATGTTTTATAGGGAAGTACAAGTAGCCATAACATGAAAATACTCATCTGTGAACTGACCTGTCTCAAAGGATGGAATATTCTAGGCAAAGGCATGACATGCAAACAAATATGCCACATCTGGGGATATCGAAGAAGAGGGTTTTCTCATAATTAGGTATTCACTATGCTATCATGTTAATGTATTTTATTTACTCCTTATGGCAACCCCTTGCTAACTGCTGGAATAACAATTGTGACTAGACATTTTAAGTAAGTTGCAAACTAGAAGTGCAAATCAGCAGCTGATGCAAAATATAATGGAGCCCATTAAAGCTGTATTAGTCAGTAATAGGATTCCACTCAAAGCCAATGGCAAACAATCTAGTGAAAGATTAAAGAAGAAATCCACAAGAGAGATGAACCACAGAGAATGATCAAAGAATTAAGATGGAACTTTGGAAAAAGTAAGGGAGTCCTCTAATATTTTGGAAAAATTACTTTTGATAATCCTGTTGCTGAAGTCAAACGTAAGAGAAAGATGCTACATCCATACTCCCATACAATTCTGCTGAAAATATCCCAACACTGCCCACATGGGATTCACTCTATGGCCAGAAATCAATACATAGCTGCAATTATAATTTAACTTGTTAAGTTAAAAAATAAACTACTATTTTCCACTTCATTTTTCAAGATAAAGCCCCAAACAATTTCTCTCCACTATTTACTAAGAAATATCAGATCCTGATTGAAAAAGATCCCTAAGTCCTGTGTCGGGATAACAATCATATATAGACAATGCAGGAGTCCTACATATGAAATGCACACATTCTCCTG